TTGCCAGAGGTTGATGAGATATCAGACCTCGGAGTGATCTTTGATGCCAAGCTTAGGTTCAAAAGCCAAATCTTGAAAATTGTTCATAAAGCTAACTCCATGTTGGGGATTGTTGCTAGAAACTTCAAGAATTTATCAGAAGAAGCTTTTGTCTTGTTGTATAAGTCGTTGGTGAGGTCTCAGTTGGAATATGGTGTTCAAGAATGGAAACCTTACAAAATTGGTTTAATTTTAGAAATTCAAAAAATTCAAAAAAAGCAACACGTTTGGTTAATTCCTGTAGGTCTCTTCCTTATATTGACAGATTAAAGAAACTTAAGCTGCCTTCACTCGCGTACCGTTGTCGCAGAGCGGATCTCATTTTGCTGTTCAGAATGTTACGTGGCGAGGTTTTTGTCAAGGCTAGTTGGTGAGGTCTCAGTTGGAATATGGTGTTCAAGCATGGAAACCTTACAAAATTGGTTTAATTTTAGAAATTGAAAAAATTCAAAAAAAGCAACACGTTTGGTTAATTCCTGTAGGTCTCTTCCTTATATTGACAGATTAAAGAAACTTAAGCTGCCTTCACTCGCGTACCGTTGTCGCAGAGCGGATCTCATTTTGCTGTTCAGAATGTTACGTGGCGAGGTTTTTGTCAAGGCTAGTCCAACGCTACTATTTTCGTCCGACGATCGTACGAGAGGACACAACTGGAAACTGACTACAGGACCATGTCATAAAGATTGTCGTAAATTTTGCTTCTCATACCGTGTGGTAGACGACTGGAACAGGCTTCTTTCTGATGCCGTCAACGCTGATAACATTAACATTTTAAAGTCATTATTAGATTCATTTTTTGGTGACTCCATATTTAATTGGCGTTTGAATTCATAATTGTTCCTTTTACACTATATACATTCAATAGTTATCATCTTTTACACTTTAATTAATTATGTGTGTTTTATTTTGTTGTGTTGACTTGTGTATTATTATTTATATATATAAGTTAAGTTTATTATATACATTACCTATTTTATTTATTTATGGTTTGTATTTTCGAATTTCTATATTTTTGTTTGGCTAGGGTTCTGCCCGTGCTGTTTTGAATAATAATAATAATAATATATATATATATATATATATATATATATATTATATATGTATATATATTATATATATATATATATATACACACACACACACATATATATATATAAATAAATAAATATATATATATATATTTGTTTTTGTAATACAGGATAGGCTAACTATATATATATATATATATATATATATATATAGTTAGCCTATATGGGCAAGAACAACAACAACAATAATAGTAGGGAGAGCGGTAAGGCGTGTAGGAACGCTGGTCCGCATGCATCAATCAATGTTGCATTTTAAAGATTCATTATTTGATACCTTCAAGCGCTAAACTTTCTGCGCCGCACAGATGATAACTTATTTTTTATCGCTTGAAAATGTGCCTACAACTAGCCTGCAGTGAATTATTCCGAACCTCTTTCGCTCTTTTAAATTTTTTTTCATGGCCATTCATGATAAGAATTGGATAATAATTATTTTGCGTTTCTCAACAAATGCAGGCAGGATTAATAAATGAAACGAAATAGAGAAATAAATGTCTAGCGGTTGGAGTGGATTGCGGAAAAGTAATGTGAAGTTTTGTTGCCGGTGTGAGTGTTGCTTTCAATTAAATAGATGCTGAAACTGGCCAGTTCAATTGAATTAGACCCACCAAGATTGTTCGTACGCCTTGAAAATTGGATGGGGATGAATCAGAAGTAGATTTATCATGGTGGAAGTTGAGTGGATGTTCCGTGCAACGTGTGCTCACGTTCTGTGCCTAATGATGAGGCACTACGTGTTATCATTGTTGCAGTTAACGTTCTTTTCCAGTTCTGTTCATCATAGAAATTTGAAATTAATATTTCGTCTACACGCACCAGTGTTAACGCTCTTGGAGTTTATTATTGATTGATGTACTTACAGGTTATTAGTGATTGCAATGAAAATTGTTGCTAGCATTAACTAATTTTCTAAAGATTGGATAAGTTATATTTGGATCGATAACGTCCATTTATTTTTGAATGTCATGGAAAATATTTTTCTCGGTATTAGAACAATTCCATGTAATTTTTACGGGCAGACTTTTGAAACATTTCTTGGTTGATCAATTTAAGGAATTTTTCTTAAAATAAATTCAATGGACGGAAAGACGTTTTAGGTTGTTTTATTTACAGTTAATCCACTTACGTCCAATTAAACGACATTTGGTCACTCTAAAATAATTGGTCCCAAGAGTTTGTTCACAATCACATTTGACTAATTATTCAATTAATCAATCAATCCAACAATCTTTAAACATTCGTTTGTTCGTTCCTACATTCTTACGTTTGTTTATTCATTTATGCAGTTTATAACATTGTTGATAAATTAATCATAAATTCAAGAAAATCATTTTATTATCTAATCATTTCTTCACAAAAATGTGATTTAATTATTACGTTGAATAAATTATAAACATTTCATTTATGATTTTTTTTTTGTTTCCATTTTTTCTGTTTTGTAGATCACCGTCCAAATTTTTCCATCATATCCGTATTATTTTAATGTTTCATTCAAATAGGTTTTTTCTAAAAACATTTTAAGGCTTATAAATTAATTTGGTTGGCTTAATGGCTTGTTGGCTCGGCACTTCAATTGAGAGTAGGATGTCCATAAATTTGTTGACTGTCACAACGAGCAACGATCACAATAATTCAGTGTGCGGACTGTGACAGCGCAAACGTTTTAATATATACACTACCTAAATCGACGATTACCCATCTACTAACTTCATTCTATCTGCTTAGTGGCGGATCTAGAGGGGCGGTAGCCGGGGGACCCCTTCAGAATTTTGGTCCCCCGGTCAACATTTAAACATTTTTTTAATTTTTGAAAAATTCCTCCCCGACAACGTTGGAAGATTTTGAAAATTCAGAACCATCTCGTCAAGTTGCCTAGATCTACCACTGTATCAGCTCTCGTGCTCTCTATTCCGCCATCTACACGTATGTAGTTTTTCCATCTGGTTTCTGGTTTCTGCTTCATCTACAAAATCTAAGAAATGTTTTATAATGTTTCCATATGATTTTACATAATTTAAAACATGTGCCTTCTATGTACAAATTTTTTACTGGTGTCACCTCATTTCAATTTCAACTTTTCCACGTCCACCTTCTAAATGTTATGGTTCGAAACATTTTGTTAAAACTCTGATGCTGGTTCAGTGTGGGATTAGCTCTTGCTAGTAGGGTAATGTTGAATGGAAATCATGCGAGGGCCGTTAGCAGCAAAAAATCGTTCTCACATTATTTATTTTGAATGAATTATGCTATCATTATTTATCGTGAATTATTTTATTATGAATTGTATTATTTTGTGCTATTGTTTTGCAGGACGTTTAATAATAATAATAATCTGCACTTTCAATTTAAAAAATTATTATAAGAACTTATAAAGTCGTCAAAAATATAAGGTTAAATTCAAAAAAATTTTAATAAAAGTTTAAAATGTCATTCCATATGCGAATCAGATATTTTATCCTTCTCCATATAAATCCTGTACTTATAATAATAAACGAATCACAGATAAAGATAAGATTTATAGTGAGTATAATAAATAGTCAAGAACATCTCGCAAATATTTGCAGTTGGTTTGAAAAATAGCGTTGAAAGTACCTACCTACATACATACACAAACATACTTACGGTTCACATGAATGTATGTATGTAAGGTATCACCCACACACAAACGCCTGTGTAAACGCCTGTCCGTCTACCGCAATCTCGCTTCAGCACCGTATAAAAAGGCGACTGTTAATTTTCTTGGTGAAATTTTCCCAGCTGAAATTCGTTACATTTTGTTGAATATTCACAACAATAGGTTCAGAGCATTTTGTTTTACTAAAATTATC